GAATTTGGCCAGTGGTTATGAAAACATGAATGGTGATTTCTTTTAATGCGGTGCGCTGTCGCCCTTTCTACATAAAAATCAGTCAAATCATGTAATGTGAATGTCATACAGTCTTGCTCGCGACGAGTTAAACGAGTTGAAAGCGTACCAAGCTGCGGAAGAGACACTGTTTCTCAAGCGCTTTCCGCAAGCGTGATTCGAGACGGAGTGAAACACGGACAAATGCGTTTCATTCATTCGTTCATAACCACTCATACCCCCTGCCCCCGCTGACACAGTTTTGCGTAGGGCCCCCAGAAGTCTAGGATTGGCACTGGTTGACGATCCCCAGACACCGGATGATGGCCTCCCTCCAACTCAGTCCTGTGGTGTCTGGGGGGTTGATGGCGTGGTGAAGATTCGCCCCGATCCAGAACAGAGACTTCAGTGTTTCATCGTCAAATGGGCAGGACGTAGCGAAAACACTGAAGTCCCTGGCAAAGTCAAGCAGGCCAGGGTTAGCATAGGCAATGGACATGAGTTGGGAGGCGTAATAATTCATTTAGAAAACCAAAAATGGACAAAAACGGGAAAATAAACGAGGAAAACACGACGGGTATACTTTTCTTTCTTTTCTAGGTCCGGTCTTCTGTCACAGCTACGGTGAGGTAAACGCACAAAGAAGATGAAGATAAATGCAAATAGTCTTTAATAAATCCACACAAGGGTAAATCAAGGACAGAACAGGCAGGAGACACACGTAGGGACGTAGTAGACCGGACACTAAACAGTGAAATGAACATAACTAAAATATCGGTGCTAACGAGGGACAGACAGGTGAGGAGGATCACAGAGGAAACAGGTGAACTGACTAACATAATCAAACACGGGGAAAAACTGGGTCACTGAGCACATGGGGAATGAAAACACAACAAAATAGTCCAAGGGTGTGACATATAGTCAACTATTTATATTATATGTATAGTCAGATGTTTAACTGTGTATAGGTTATTTTTGTTTTTTTATACTTCTATTGTTGTATGTTTATATTTATGTTTAATTAGTATATAGCACCATGGACCTGCAAGACACAATATTTCGTTCCACTATATGTCCACACATGTAGCAGAATGACAATAAAACGACTTGATATGGAATACTCGTAGTCAGATAAGCAAATGATTATGTTTTGACGTCACTACAGGGAAATAACCTGATTTATTAATAAAGTCATGTAAGCGTGGTTTACTTGTGTTGTCAGGTTACTGATGTGCATGTAAACGGGAAAAACTAGTTATTTCGATAAGCTTATATTTGTGAGTTATCAGCTTACTGGCGTGCATGCAAACATGGTGACTTAAGTCCCACTGACGTACAATGGCGGAATGTTCGTGAATTTTAATCTCTATTGTCACTTTCAGTATCACACACACACACACACACA